TCGTGAGGGAAGGTTGTGTCGCGGAAATTCGGGACGATATTGACCAGTCAGTGTCCTTTCACGCGTTGATTTTGGATTTATTATGTTACCCATAGGCCGTGGATAATCAGCCGACACACAGGTGGGTCGCCGATCGCCTCTGGATCCCTGGGAGGCCGTAGTGTCAGCGGATTTCGCGTATTTTTACTAATTTTTTTTTCAGACTCGAGGGGGAAGGTCCTGTGACCACCTCGAATTCTGAATGGGTCTCTGCAGGGCACGTGAGGCATGAGAACTTGATAAATAAACGGGGATTCGTGTCTCTTCTTCTTTATCTTTTTATTATTATTTAAAAAAAAAAATTATATATTTTTGTTTCTTTTTATATCTTCCTTATTAGTTTATTATTATTTAAAAGAAATATATATATATATAATGTTGTTATTTCTTATAAATAAATTTTTTGGTGAATATATATTTTTTTTTAGATACGCGAGGATTGTGTCTTTCGTGTGTGTTTCTCTTCGTCTTTTTATAATTTCTTTTATTTATTTTTGTTGTTATTTGTAATGAATATATTTTTTTTTTGATACACGAGGATTGTGGCTGTTTCGTGTGTATTTTTTGTTTATCTTCTTATTTATTCATTTATTTATTTAAGCTTATCCTCCGTGCGTGTATACGATTTTGATAAAAGTGTTAATGTGACCAAAAAGTGTGTGTGTGTTTTTACGACAGGATTTTTTTTAGGGGTATTGGGGTATTTTAGCTTTTTTGTGCATTTGGATTTTTTTGTGTATACTTGGACGGAGGGAGAGAGGGATTAAGGGAAGAGAAGAGGGTTTGGAAAGAAAGAAGAAACGAGAGCAAGAAGGAAGGAGATGAGAGAGAGGAGAAGAGTGGGGAGAGGAGGGAGTGGGGGGGGGGAAGCGATAGAGAGATTGAGACAATTTCTACTTTTGATTGGGGATTGAGTAGAGAACGAGTGAGAGAGCGTGGGATTTCAACTTGCACCTTGTGTTGAAAGGGAGATGGGAGAGTGAGGGAATGAATGAGAGAGGGACATGGTACATCAACTTACCATGCGAGAGAGGGAGAGAGAGAGAGAGAGAGAATGAGATAGAGAGAGGGAAATGGAGAGAGAGAGAGAGAGAGAGAGAGAGAGAGAGAGAGAGAGAGGCATTTCTGCTTGTGGGTTTAGGACTCGCACGCCAGGCGAAGTTAACCCTTACGTTCTTCTCACACCAGACTCGTTATCGCTTGTGTCCTTATTTATTTACTTTTTTTTTCTTCCATTCTTTCTAAAGGCAGCAAACTTGTTGATAGTGAAGAACCTTGGCCGTTCTCTTCATTCACACGGCGGCTGCAGAAAAGGGCGGAGTCGAAAGCAAATAAAGATTAGTGAATTAAAAGCACACTGGTTCAACTCCCCTCCCCCACCCCCACACACACACAGCTTGCATGACTCTGGGGCCCCGAGTTTTGGCGTTCGCAAGGGCGGTTCCGTGCACGCAGACGAGGGTTTTCATTGACAGAAGGGCTGTCCTTACGTCGCCTTGCTAATGCGTTCGTCCTCCCCCCCCCCTTGTCCTGTCCTGGGCGGCGTAGAGGAGGATTTTGAGGGGCGGTTGGGCTGGGCGGGGCATGGGCTGGGCGGTCCCACGGTAAAGGGGAGGACGGTGTAGCTAGTTGAAGTTTAAGAATTAAGAGAAAAGAAAGAAGGGAAAAAAAAGGAAGAAGAAGACGAGAAATAATTGAGGGTTGTAAGGTTTGTCGATTTTTTTTTTCTTCTTTTTTTAGGTCTTCGGTTAATTTATGTAAGAGGATATGACAGAGGAAAGAGATATGACAGACGGAAATCATACTTAATATGGTAGTTTTTAATTTTTAATACCTGGCATTGCATTGGACGGTTGAGCAGAGCCATTGCACGCCAGGCAGGAAACTGTGCAGGTAGGAGGGCCTGGCAGGTGCTTTTTGGGGCGGCGGGTGCGACAGCTGGGTGGCAGACAGGCAGGCTCCGTTGATAACAGGCTGCAGGCAGGGCACACGTCCTTGCCTCCTCGCTCTGTCTCTCTGTCTATCTTCTTTCTCTCTTTTTTTCTTTCTCTCTTTTTTTCCTCTTCCCTCTTTTGTCTTCTTACCTCTGTCGTCTGTCCTCTCTTTTCTGTCTTCTGTCTTCCATCTGCGTTTTTTGTATCTCATAGTTCGTCTCTCTCTTCCTCTCTCTCTCCCTCTCTCTCTCTCTCTCTCTCTCTCTCTCTCTCTCTCTCTCTCTCTCTCTCTCTCTCTCTCTCTCTCTCTCTCTCTCTCTCTCTCTCCCTCTCCCTCTCCCTCTCCCTCTCCCTCCCTTCCTCCCTCTCTCTGTCCCTCTCTCTCTCTCTCCCTCCCTCTCTCTCTCCCTCCCTCCCTCCCTCCCCCTCTCTCTCTCTCTCTCTCTCTCTCTCTCTCTCTCTCTCTCTCTCTCTCTCTCTCTCTCTCTCTCTCTCTCTCTCTCTCTCTCTCTCTCTCTCTCTCTCTGTCTCTCTCTCTCTCTGTCTCTCTCTCTCTCTGTCTCTCTCTCTCTCTGTCTCTCTCTCTCTCTGTCTCTCTCTCTCTCTGTCTCTCTCTCTCTCTCTCTCTCTCTCTCTCTCTCTCTCTCTCTCTCTCTCTCTCTCTCTCTCTCTCTCTCTCTCTCTCTCTCTCTCTCTTGCTCACTCCCCCTTCTTTCCTTTTTTATCTTCTTAGAATCTCTTCCTTTCCCCTCCCTCCCTCCCCCCACGTGTTCCTTTCTATCTCCGTCGCACACACGCACACGTGCACACACACACACACACACACACACACACACACACACACACACACACACACACACACACACACACACACACACACACACACATACACACACACACACACACACACACACACACACACACACACACACACACACACACACACACACACACACACACACACACACACACATACACGCACACATACACACACACATACACACACACATACACACACACACGCACACACACACGCACACACACACAGCTCTTTCCAACCTGTCCCACGTGCCCACAGCACCCTCCCCCCCCTCCCACACACACACGCACACACAAAACACACTCACCTTACTCATTATCCTAAATAGGTAAACAAGACTCGTCCACACTGCGAGCGTTACTCATCTCGCCCTCGCTGCCCGGAGATTGGGCACGGGGGGGGGGGGGTGAGTCAGTGTGTCACGGTATGTCGTAAGGCCGCCGTGGCACTCTCGGGGCACTCTCTGGTATCAGTTTATTTCCTGTTCTCTTTGGGTTGCTGTGTCGTTGGTTGTTTGTTTGTTTATTTGCTGGGGTATTTTTTCTCGTTTTTTTTTGTTGTTGTTTTTTTCTCTTATTCTTTTTTTTAAGTTGTTTTGTATATATTTTTTTTTCTCTCTTGTTGAATTTATTGGTTTCTTCGTGGATTTTATGTGCTTTTTTGTTTCTTTAATGTTTTCTTTGTATTTTTTTTCTTCTGTGTAAGTCTATATTTACATTTTGTTATTCTTGCTTTCTTATTTTTTAAATATTTTTTTTCGTTTGTTCTTCATTCTCCTAGTTTGGCCTAGCACTTATTTTTTGTTTATTTTATTGCGATAACATCATTAGCATCATCATTATCCTTATAGTAATAGTCATCAGTATCATTATTATCACCATAACCGTATTAAAATGAACATCCATTATCACTATAATTATTACGACAGACTCTCCCATACCAATAAATATCCCTTTTACAATTATCATTCTCGCGTGCCGTATTTGGATTCATTTCTCTTTGCAATTGAACAGAAGACGTTTGCAATGCGAACAGATGAACTTCCGGGCCATTTCACTTTTGCCTTAAGCTCGACCATCAGTCCAAGTCAAGGGAACTTGTTTCTGTCGGGGGAAGATTTCCTCTGACGTGGGAGGAGGAAGAGGAAGAGGAGGAGGAGGAGGAGGAGGAGGAGGAGGAGGAGGAGGAGGAGGAGGAGGAGGAGGAGGAGGAGGAGGAAGAGGAAAGGAAAGAGGAAGGGGAGGAGGAAGGGGAAGGGGAAGAGGAGGAGGAAAAAGAGAAAGAGAAAGAAAAGAAAGGAAGAGGAAGAGGAAGGGGAAGGGGAGGGAGGAGGAGGAGGAGGAGGAGGAGGAGGAGGAGGAGGAGGAGGAGGAGGAGGAGAAGAAGAAGAAGAAGAAGAAGAAGAAGAAGAAGAAGAAGAAGAAAAGAAGAAGAAGAATAAGAGGAAGAAGAAGAAGAAGAAGGAGAGGAAGAAGAAGAGAAAGAGGAAGAGAAAGAGGAGGAGGAGGAGAAGGAGAAGAAAAGAAGAAGAAGAAGAGGAGAAGGAGGTCGTTTGGTGACGTTTTCATTATTGTTGTTGTTGTTGTATGTTGGTTGTGTTGTTAGTCTTGTTTTGTCTTCTATTATTTTTATTGATATTGTTATTATATTTATTGATTTCTTTATCAGCATTATTATTATTAATTATTGTTATTATCGTTTATTATAATGATAATGGTTATTATTTGTTATGGTTTTTATTTGGTTGTTATTTATTATTATTATTATTATTATTATTATTTTCTTTTTGTCATTATTGTTGTTATTATGAGCATCATTACTATTAGCATTATCATCATTAACAATGATAATAATAATCGCTACTGTTATTGTAATCATAATTGTTGATGCTATCATTATTATTGCTATTATTATCATTTAATTATTATTATTGTTATTATTATTATTATTATTATTATTATTAGTTATTATTATTAGTTATTATTATTTTTTTCATTTTTTTCATTATTATTTTTGTTATTATAATTGTTTTTTTTGTTTTTCTTGTTGATTTTATTAATATGAATATTGTTATTTTTAACACTATTATGATCATCATTATCAACTATTGCTATCATCATCATCTTCATCATCATCATCATCATCATCATTACTGCTCTTGTTACTATTAATAATGATATTAATGTTATTACCCTTATCATAGTCCCTTACCATCACTGCTGTTAAATCACCCCCCTTGCCATTATTCTATGACAAATAAGCTACTTGAGAAAGGGATTGGGACGGCAAATGACTCGCGCTTTTGGACAAGAATTCGCTCAGCCGAAT